AATAAGGCGATGAACTGCCGAGATCCGATCACAGAGGACTTCATCCTCCAAACCTATCACAACAAACTCTCTTTGGACGTATTGGAAGTTATGGGAGTAGCACCGTCCAACACCTTAAAAGAGTTGAAGATGCGCGGAGAGCGCGCCGAACGCTTCCTCAGAAGGAAGCAAGCTGAGAAAAGTCAATCGACGGCTAACCCTCTGAGCTCAAACCTCGCCTCCCACGGTAAAGGGAAGGCCCCTGCAACTGTGGTAGATACTAATCAGACGTCACAGCAGCAATCTCGGAGACAGCAAAAGACTTCGGATCCGAGACTCCAAAAAAAGTACTCCTTCAAGGACGAATACGTTCCAGCCATCTTCGAGTCCCTCCTCAAAAACAACAAGATCAAGCACCACCTATCTCAAATTAGGAGGAAGCTGATAATACTTCGGATCCGAAGTATTATGCGTATCACAGGAGGATACTCCATCCCACCAAGGCTTACTTCGCTCTCAAGAATAACATCCAAACATTGGTTGAAGCTGGTGTCATAGCGCTAAATTAAGCCAAATGAACACTCCGAAGAGTATATGAATATAAACTGCTTCTCAACACTCCGAAGAGTATACGAGTATAAACTGCTTCTCAATACTCCAACAAGTATATGAGTCTAAACTATTTCCTAATTTTAACGGGAAGTTTCTGGAAGAATATCGTATGTGATATTCTTAAGCATAACCCGATCATTCAGCTGAGTACAATGTTAGACCTAGTTTCATAAAGAAAACTGGGGGTGGATGTTAGGGGAAGTTCCCGAAAGAATGCTATATGTTGTGTTCTTAGGGATAACCCGGTCGCTACAAAAAATGGGATGAATAAGAAACACCCACTGGACTCTAAATGCTGGGAGCAATTCCACCAGCTTCCAAGCACTCTTTTGTTGAGATGAGAGTTGATCACATCGTTGGATCAATCTTCCCTCATAAAAAACTCCCACTAGTGTTGACGATTCATAGTTCTCCACCACAAAGTCCCTCACTGATCAAATTAATTGATAGTGGGTCCACAAAATTTTTTTCTGGTTTAATCCATTCAAACTCCCACTACGTCTGTACACTCAACACTCCCATTGTTAAAGTCTGGACATAGTATTCGGAATTTTAATTTCCTGATTATTGACAATTATCAAACCCCTCCGTGTTAAGTATTTGTTACTTAACACTAGGAACCCCCTTTGAGTGATTCGTACGAATCAACACTCCCGCTGTAATTTGTACTCTCACTCTCATTGTTCACTTGGTCAAACCTTCTTACAGTTAGAACCACAAAACAGAAATCCCCTCTCGATTCCTCCAATGAAAGAGAGGTCCACAAATTGAGCAATCAAACATTCCTACAGTTAGGATCGTCTTAAACCTCCCACTTGGTCAAACCTTCCTACAGTTAGGACCACAACCAAAATCTCCTCTCGATTCCTTCCATGAACGAGAGGTCCACTTCCAAATCGAGCGATCAAACCTTCCTACAATTAGGGTTATCTCAAACCTCCCACTTGGTTAAACCTTCCTACAGTTAAAGTCAAAACCACAATTCACTCTCGATAAACGAGAAACTCGCATTTAGTTCGGTAATCAAACCTTCCGATAGTTAGGATTATTCGAATCTTTTCAATTCTCGGAGTGAAGATCTCACTCTTAGTTTCACCTTCCCGGATTCTTAAAGTGGAGATCCCACTTTGAGTTTTCTTTGGTAACTAGAGACTTAATATAAAATTCTTCCTCTCCCGTATCGGGTTCATCTTTGCCCCAAGAGAAGACACAATCTTTCAATATTATAACTCCCAAAATCCGTGCTTCACAAGTATGGGGAATTTTATCCGGAATCCTAAGTAGGGATATGTCAACGCCTAACACGTGTTGTCGGTTTAGTCTTTCACCGATTGAAGAAGACACCAGAATCCAAATCTGAGGACTTTTATCCCAAAGCCTATGTAGGGATAAGTCAGCGCCTAATACGCGTTGTCGGTTAATCTTTGACCATAAAAAGGACAAAAGCCCACATGTTTAACATTGTGGTAGGTTGTTATTAATAACATCATAATTCGTGTCTTACACGTACGGGGAATTTTATCCCGGATCCTAAGTAGGGATAACTCAGCGCCTAATACGCGTTACCGGTTTAGTCTTTCACCGATTGAAGAAGACACCAGAATCCAAGTCTAGTGACTTTTATCCCGAAGCCTATGTAGGGATAAGTCAGCACTTAATACGCGTTGTCGGTTAGTCTTTGACCATAAAAAGGACAAAAACCCACATATTTAACATTGTGGCAGGTTGTTATTAATAACACCATAATCTGTGCCTTACACGTACGGGGAATTTTATCCCGGATCCTAAGTAAGGATAAGTCAACGCCTAACATGCGTAGCCGGTTTAGTCTTTCACCGATTGAAGAAGACACCAGAATCCGAGTCTGGGGACTTTTATCCCGAAACCTAAGTAGGGATAAGTCAGCGCCTAACACGTGTTGTCGGGTAGTCTATTCCTGTAAGAAAAACGAAGTCTACGTATTCAATATCGTAGCACTAAGAGAGTTGACTCTCTTAGCACAACGTCACATGCAGAACGGACTTAAACAATCTGCATGCAAGTCTGATTCAAACAGTAATCGGTAAAGGCACGTCAAATCCGTTGAAGGCTGAGGATTTGCCAAAAATCCTAAGTCTACATCTAACACGCGTTGCTGCTTAGTCTTTTCACAGGAGAAAGACGAATCTACGTATTCAATATCATAGCACTAAAAGAGTTAACTCTTTTAGCACAACGTTACGTGCAGAATAGATTTAAACAATATGCACGCTAGCCCGATTCAAACGGTAGTCGGTAAAGGCTCATCAAACCCATTGATGGCTGAGGGTTTGCCAAAAATCCTATAAATACAAGAGTTATTGACGCACCAGCTTTATTAATTGGTCTCGTGACTCAAAGATCCGACAACTTCAGGACGAGATCTATACCTACAGATGAATCAGCTTTAATAGTTGGTCCTGCAGCCCCGACATTTGGGACTGTCATGCTCCAATGCCTTAAGAGTTTAAACTGTGTAGACTCCAGCAAACGTATGAGTATAAATTGTGTTAACGCCGGTCAACGCGTTACAACAAAGCCCAATATCGGACAACGCGTTACAGTAAAGTTCAATGTCGGCCAACGCATCGATAATTAATTCCAGGTCAAAGGATGATTCTAGGGAGTTTAATCACATTCAGATACCAATTCCAGACAAAGATGATCAGGTCAACGTTAACTCAATGACACGAGCTAAGTTCGGAAACTTACGTAGCAACTTTAGTTCAAGATTTCAACAACGGTCAGATGATAAACGCAGTATCGGAAGAACTTCATCTATTCGACAAAATACTGAATAGACTGAAGGCTGAAGCAATCAAGAATTAAGGCAATTCACATGTCCTTTTATGCGATCTCCTCAACGAAATATTGAAGAGATTGAAGATAGGGCATGTCTTATCCAAAGCATTCCAGACTTTTCTATAAAAGAATGAGTCTGAAATACTTTGGAGGGGGTATCTGTAGGCGTCAAAAATTACCTATGGGTTCCCGTACGCAGCTCGAGACGAAATGTAGACGATAAGCGTCATCAATCAAGTCAGGAAAGGATTATCCGGCCCCGTGAAAGCTAACGAATATACAAAGTGAGTCATTGGAGTGTACAAGTCAACGGAATGACGAAATGCGCAATACAAGTCCGGAGAAGTCAGAAAGTGTCAAACACCTCAAAGTGACCCGCACAAAGAATTGATATTTTGACCATGAGACAATTCGAATCTGGAAAAATTCAAAGGATAAACGTTGAAGGTCTCTTCGTTAGATTTCTAACGCATCTTGAATCATCTTATTCCGAGGTTGGATGAGTGAGTTAAGGCTACTACAATACCGCGCTACAGTAACCGCGTACCCGTGCTACAGTAGCCACGGGTCACCAATTGGTGATCTGCGCTACAGTAACCGCGGGTCACCCCGTTCTATAGTAACCGCGAGCCACCTCTTGGTGACCCGCGACCGTGCCGGTCACCATGATCTGTCCCGCGTCCAGAACTGTCCATGACATCCAAAACGTGTTTTTTGCTGTTTTCACGGGATTTCTTCTGTTCCAGAGGTTTTCAACTACCTAGATATCATCTCCAAACGTGGTTACACGGTTGTCAACTGAGGATAAGGTCAAATCCATCGTTCTTATCCGAAAATTCCCCAACCGAAATCTATAAATACAGGCCTAGGGGCTCATTTCACAGGGGCAATTTATTATTAAGAGGACGATGTGTTGCTGGATTGAGGAGTCAAGAAGCACGAATTTACAGCGAAAGCAAGTCAGATCCCGGCGAACTTCAGCACAAAGAGGAAGGCTTTCGAAGGATCTGAACCCGTATTTACCCTCGTCCGTTCCTTGAGATTAGGCTTGGTCTTAATCTCGAGAAGAGCTACTGATTTCGCTTGGTCGATGTCAGTAATTCAAGCGAATACTTCCTTAGTGAAATAGGAGCTCTGTCAATTTTCTGTCAACCGAATCCGATCCGTAGGCGGTCCACGGATAAACCCCGACACAAGCAAAGATCTCACTCAAGCAAAGACTAATAAATAGGATCTGTGTTGTTTGAAGGAGATTGTAATTTTTATTTTTATTGTGTAAAGGTCTTATAAAAAGACAAATCTTTTTTGAACTTGTTGTAATGATTAAAGTTGTAACGAGTTATACAATAAAGAAAACAATTTCTGACTCAAACAGTGACTAGTAGGTGGAGGTGAGCTGCCCGCTCTCCTCCATTATATATATATACACACACACGTGTGTGTGCTGAATATGCAAAGAGCAACGTACATCTTTCTCCAAATTTGAAAAAAAAATTGAACTAATTCTATGTATTTAATCTCTCTTATTTGATTCATTTGTAAGAGAATATGACCATAAATATGCAATATGACAATATAAACACAAAGCATTTGCCGAATAAATTACACTTTATTATCTGAGACTTATCTGAGACTTACAAATTTGGCCTAAAACTCACGTTCTTAGCTCATCAAAGGCACACATTCTGCATGCCACACAACTTCTTCAACGTAATGAATGCTCGTGAATTGACGTACAAAAAAGAGAGAACAAATACATAACCACGCTTCAAAAGAATCCCACTGTTATCGAAGAATATATCAGAATGCCTCAGGCAATGGCCTGCCAGCGAGAAAAGCTCTGAGAAGCCCGAGAGCTCTTGTAGGCTGCGAGAATGGAACTTCATGAGATGCTCCTCTTACAGTAGCAAAGGAAAGCATGTCTCCATAAACTTGAGTCCATCCACCAACCTGTATACCTTAAGCACTTATCAATGCTACTCAAAGCACAAAGCATAATGCACGGGAACAAAAGATATAATATATAAGAGGATATTACATATGAGCTAGATGAGGGTGGTGAGGTTAACTTACCCATATGTTTCTAGCAGCATGACTCCACCACTAATCTATCCGTTGATAGCTCGTTCACTAAAATGAGCTGTCACCTTACACTCACTATTTCCTATTTATAATAGACTCGTACAACTCTCCATTGTCTGTGTCATGACATCACTAAAAATCCCTTCGTCACCCAATATCATAATATTTCTCTATTATTTGTACTCACTCGACGAAGGGTTTAAAACTCGTCGTTATTATATGCACATTAATGACGGGCAACTGGTCCCTTCACTAATTTTGGTCGTTAAATAGCAGATTTCTTGTAGTGCATGGGACAAACCCAAACTACTACAACTCAACATATGCAGATCATAGCTACTTTGGATGTATATCATGTCAACGATACTGCGGACAAGGCTGTGGAGAGGCAATCAATCCCTCTTTACTTTACATATACATGTACGTATAAATCCTTGGCCTTTTATATTTACACATATTTATTATCTTTTCTTTTTGTAGAAAACTTATAATTTCTTTTGCCTTTCATAAACCACAATGTCATGGATGCTTAATCATGTGGGCTCTAATCTTATTGTTGGTAAGGTATGGTTTATAATTTTTTGGGGGGAAAAGAAAAAGAGAAAATCTCTACTGTAAAATTACAACTTTATCCTCTCAACTACATTATTCAACCCCCACTTTCCTCTTTATACTCAGTATCGATATGAGTAAGGAACAAAGTCTCGGGTTTTGATTTAGTTACCTGTTTCCCCTCGAACCAAACTCTGTAAGGAACTGTCGTGTTCATTCCTAGTTCCTTTGCCAGTCTCTGAACCAGTGTTCTGCTACCCGTTAAAGGTATAACTGAGTCTTGATCACCACTAAAACACAACCAAATTCACATAAAGAATTAGGTTGTGAAGATTAAGTTTGAAATTAGAACTTTTCATTGTCATTGCTATTTTTACCTGTAAACCAAAACTGGGATCCCAGACTTAACCAGGGAACCTACAACTGAGATTGTTGGTATCTCCAAGTTGAGGAAATTGTATTCAAGTACACTGGAGGGGGAAAAAAGGAAGACTATAATTTCAATAATTAGGGAAAAAATGAATAAATTAATTTAATTGAAGTTACTTAAACTTCCGCATTCATAATAGTGAAATAGCCAGTTATACAAATCTAAATGGAATTAAAAAGAGAAACAACTTTTGAAGAATGTACTAATCATTACGCTGAATAGTTTTGGTGAAATTTCTAAATTTAAAAAGAACTCACTAATTGTAATTTGTGAAAGGTAGCCAGAATATCTATTCATTTCGGGAAGTGAATGTTGAAGTATGGGATATCAATATTACATGATTTACTGATTAGTGATCCATTATTCTCTCAGTTGATCACTGACCATATTGCAATGCTTACAATTTTTGACATGTTAAAGGTTTCGGCAAAATGGAAAACTAAAAGTAAAATTAGATCATGACATTCAGGCAAGAAAAACACATCTTTATGAACTACACATGCCTGTTAACTTGAAAAAGAATAATTACATGAAATTTGAAAGAGTTTTACCGTAGATACAGAAGTTTTCCATGCCATGAATTTAAAGAATGGGGCAGAAGGATATCATGAATTGGCATTAACAAGGATATAATTGAATCTGGGTAATCAACAAACCTGTTCATTAAAGAACATGCTATGGTGTTTTTTTATTTCGCGGTGCATGAATATTATATTTGAACATCCTAGATGCTTAGATTTAATAAATCCTACAGTTAATGAAAAAGACTATAAAAGTAAAATGTTATAATGAGATTAGTCTTCCGTATAGTATCTTGTCACAAACTTTCTACAAAATGCAAATCGTAAGAGATGTGGTGGTTGTTAGTTTTGAAATGAATTATAACCATGCACATATTAGTAAAAGGTTGTGAGCTATTGTCAATGTGGCAATGATCACAATGTCCCTTCACTGGTAAAAACAGAAACCTTAAAATATGGGTAATTACTAGGATCTAAAAGTATAAGAATCAACTGCTCCAATATGGGATTCAATTCATGGGAGTATTCTAAACTATATTTCAGATTACATACAAATGAAAAATTTGCCACAATTACCTACTACAAACCGTCCACTGTGACACTCCTCTAAGTTTAGCATGTAGAGCTTTTTGCACATCTTTGCGGTTGAGATAGTCAATCGTCTCATCTTCCACACAAACATCTATTCTCTCTGAAACATGCTACAAAAAACAAACAAACAAACAAACAAACAAACAAGCAAAAACAAAACTATCATTAAAAGCAAACATCTTCAACTTATCTCTTTCAATCACAAATCTCAGACTTAAACTTACTTGAGGACTTAGAGCCAAGGATTGTGAGAGCATCGATGAGATACAAACATCTAAGGTAACATCATACTTATCGACGAAGCTGCTTGTTTCTTTAGTCACTTGGTTCACCACTTTTTCACATGTAGGACTAAGAGAGTCTCGGTAATACTCTCCAATGTATCGAGAGTAGTTGCATGCTGAAGTGAAAATGTGGTATGTTGAGTCTGATATCAACCCATGAGACCATAAAAACTCAGCTCTTGAGTTGAAGTCGGTGGCAAACTCAAGAACAGGATTGCCCAACTGTAAATTTCACCAACAATAAGTACTTTTAAAGTTCAGATGAAGGTCATTCAACCGAATTCTAGAGAACAAGTGTCCACAGAAAATTCTGTTTCCATTGCATAAAAATTATAATTATCTGACTATAATTGACAAAATAAACCAAAAGATTTGAATTCAAAGAGTGAGTCTCTCACACTCTTAGCAAAAAGAAACTGGCACTTTTGGTATTGAAATTGCCCTGGAGAAAATTGTCAACATCTAGAATTACTCACAGCAATTCCTTTAAGATTGAAGATCTTTTCTCTCTTGTTGAATTGAACCATGAGATCAGCAAGCTGAGGGATGTAGTGTCCTGCATAGCTCTCCCCAGCAATATAGAGATCCCTATGCTTATACTGAGGGAATTTCTCGAGCCAGCGGCGGGCAAAGACTAGATTGTCCCTGGCTTAAAAATCAAACCAAATAAACTCTTCAGAAATTCAAAATGTATTAAAATTCAACGCTAAATAACTAAACTCCATTAAATTTTGAGAATCTACCAGTCATCTTATCATCAACCTCAGCATAATAGGAGTCATTAGAGGAGTAAGAGAACCCAACTCCTGCTGGTGTCTCCAAATACAGCATATTGGCTTCTGTAGGATCACAAACAGAATCTTATAAAAGAAATCTTTTTTTTTTAAGAAAATTAAGAATCAAAAGTATTGCACATACCTTTATTCCAACTGAATTCATTTCTCACTAGAATTTTCCCACTGGGTCTAAAAGGTCCATTCTCTGAAAATGCCCCAACCCCAACTGAAGAACAACCGGGTCCTTTTCAAAATTCAAGCCAAAAAAAAAAAAAAAAACCAAAGTTAGACAAAAAACCAGCCCATTTGAGGAAAAGTGATAAAGACTGGATCTTTTACCTCCGTTCAACCACAGGACGAGAGGCTTTGAGGATGGGTCGGCCTCAGCTTCAGCAAAGTAGTAGAAGAGAGACCTCCGCTTCATCTTGTCGACTGTGATGTAGCCTGAGTACTGCTGGAAGCTCACCTGAGGCTGACCGGGGAGCTTGGCGATCTTGTCTTCCGCCATTGAGGAGCAGAGATGGAGGAGAGCTGCAGCGGCGGCCATGGCCATGGCCGCGGACCTCCATGCTGCGGGCTTCATTGTTTTCTCACTGAGGAGTACTATGATTTCTTTCTCTTTCTATTCTTTTTTGTTTGTTCCCCCTCTGAGCTAATTACTGTAGAACTAAAGCATGAGGAGCAGTGGCGGGGGGCCTGTGTAGGGGCCACAGGGGCCTTGGCCCCACTCTGGAAAAGAAGAAATTTTCTAAATAAACTAATCTATATTTAAAAAAAAAAAATAGACCGACTTGAGTAATCCGGTTTCTAAATAGTCGGGATTGCCAATCCCGACTATTTAGTACATAGAATGTAAATGTGTAGAGTTAATGTATGGAATATGAACGGTCGTGTATAATAAGTTTATATAAACCCATGAGTGGGAGAATTTGATATGAATAAAAAAAGAAAAGAAAACAAAAGCACCAAATTCTTTATCTTCTTCTACATCTCTCTCTCTCTAATTCTCTATCATACTAGCTTTAGACAAAGTTTTCTTCACTACTCAGTGCAAAATTACAACAAATTCTTGGGTTCGCCACTGATGAGGAGATTTGGCAAGCGCAAAGCATGCAAAGTAGTTGTATTTGGACAAGCTCTACTGCAAATAAGAATTTTGTTACAATATAATGTTATTTTGGACAGCCTGCAGTTTTGGTTGTATTCGGACAAGTTACGTTGCCAGCAATACCTTGATTACAAAATAGAAGAAATTTTCATTTTAAACTCAATCCAATTTTTATTTTTAAAAACCGACCCACTCCCGTTTTAATTACCAAAATCGACCCATTTCGTGGTCACGTTAGTAACGTGGTCACGAAGCGGGTCGATTTTTTTTAAATAGGTTGCTAAATAGTAGGGGTTGCCAACCCCGACTATTTAGCAAATGTACAAGCTAAATTAGTCGGGGTTCACAACCCTGATATATTTAGCATAGATTTTTTCGAAATGGTCAGGGTTCCCAACCCCGACCATTTCATTTTATTCTCTCCAGCCACACGTGTGAGTCTCTCCATCCAAATTCAATGGAAGCTGAACGCGTGAGCCCGCAAATTGGGCCCTGAGACTAATTTAGTGTTCAAAATCGTCTGCGGCCTCGTCATCTACAAGGTTTGCCGGCTACGGCGGTGACACCGACGACATCCCAGTTCTTGAATTTTAATTGTAGGTGAATTAGATTTTGATGGAGGATTATTGTTTTTTTATATGAAGGGAAGTGACAAAGCAGTTGATAATTCTGGAGCTGAATGCAATCCATAATTTAGGAACAAGATGAAAGGGGAAGTAAAGCAATTAGCATCAATCATCAAATGAAATGGTCAGGGTTGGGAACCCCGGCCATTTCGAAAAAATCTGTGCCAAATATGTCGGGGTTGCGAACCCCGACTAATTTAGCTTGTACATTTGCTAAATAGTCGGGGTTGACAACCCCTACTATTTAGCAATCTGTTTAAAAAAATCGACCCGCTTCGTGGTCACGTTGCTGACGTGGCCACGAAATGGGTCGATTTTGGTAATTAAAACGGGAGTAGGTCGGTTTTTAAAAATAAAAATTAGATTGGGTTTAAAATAAAATTTTCTTCTTACAAAATAATAAAGCTCTCTGTTAAAATTTGAGAGTCTCAGTTCTCTTTTTTCTCCAATTGGTCAGAGAATTGGTGGGGAAATAATTCCTCCCACATGCAAGCGAAACCGCAGCAGTGAGGCACGAGGGGGTTGTCAGGAATAGACCATCTTTTTTTCCTCCTTATTTTTGTCTGCCCTATAAAGAAACTATCTGAGCAAAGAGTTTGATTAATGGTTGATGAGAGTTTATCAAGTATTTAGGAGAGTTGAAGCGTTAATATGGTAACACGAATCTCAAGGAATTTTATAGCCATCTGATTGAAGAAGTGTTTCTTACATAATCAAATGAGAAAAGTCCGGGTTGGTTTTGTCGATGACTTGTGAGAATTTATCTAAATATTCTTTAAGAGGAGGCATCATGATAACACAGATCTCAAGAACTTATGGGGACCACATTTAGAAGGTTAATTATGATCTTAAATATTGAAGCGGTTTGAATGCTTATCATGAATAGCATCAGATATAGAGGCGATTTTAGGAAAAAGCTGTAAAAAAAACTAACAATTTGACAGTTTTTATTCTTTTTTGTCTCTTCAAAATACCCGATCTAAACAGCCCCTTAGCACGGCGGAGTTGAAACTAGTAAAACAGTGATTCAATTTTTTTTTACAAACAAGATTCTTCCAAAAAAAAAGTGAGACCGGATCAAGCCTAATCTCATTTTAAGAGCTTATTAACCAACCTTAACGAACTATACATAACCAACTTTGGAGGTTAACTCTCTACGTGCCTTTCGCCTTGCTAAAAGAAAATATATTGATTTTTTTATAAAGGAGATGATAAATAAATAGTATTAATATTCTTGATAGATTCTTTGGGCACCCGTTTAATTACAATAAAAAAATCTTAAGGCTATACATGCAGATACATAAGCTTTAGGATAACTTGTGTAATTAGACCACGCTCCGAAGTATCAGAATGCAACTGGCCCTGCTTAAAGTCAGATGAATGTTATAGTATTTTGCAAATTATACATGCATTAAGTTTACATTTATGACAAATTTTTAAAATAGACCTTTTCAAAGATAAAATTGTCAATTTCGACCTACTCGCAAAATATTTGCCAAAATCGACCTAGTTTAAAATACGTCAGTAAAACTAGGTCGATTTTGATAATAAAAAATGTTTTCGAACTTCATGGGATTGACAATCCCATGAATTTAATTGTGTATTAAACTCCCTAGGATTCCCAATCCCATTGGCCCCGTTTGGTACGCGGGAATGGGGTGGAATGGAATGTCATTCCCACTTCTCATTCCCTCATACCAAACAAAACTAGTTTTTAGATGTTGGAATGATCATTCTTATGGAATGGCTATTCTCACTTTTTGTGGGAATGAGCATTCCATGTGAAAAGATAGGGAATGATCATTCTCATTCAATGGGAGAATCAAATTAGTTAGGTTTTTTTTTTCAATTATACCCCTATTAATAATAAGAATTAATTTAAAAATCATGGCTTTTGACTACGTATTCTCATTTTCTCCCTGTTTTTTTAGGCTCCACCGAAACAAAAAGGCCTCCTTTCTATTCATCGCCCCTGAAATCGATGTATTCTCATTCTTTATATTTTTTTGGACCTATGAAAGATGTAATAATCTTTTATTTATTTTTATTTAATTTTTTAAGACTAAGAAATAGTGAGAATTGTTTAAAAAATATAAACGAAACATACACCTAATCGATAACATGCGCATTAGTATAACACATACCTAGATTAATATAACATATGCATAAATAAAAATTTTTAGTTATTATCATTAATGTTTATTTTTATCTTATTAAAAATCTATGTTGTTATAAGGGCATTATTAGAAAATAAGATTATATTCTCACTTGTGAACTAGTGATACCAAACATGGGAATGAGAATTAGATTTTCATTCTAGCTTCATTCTACAAACGCACCCAAACAAGAGAATGGGAATGACCATTCCATTCTCACATACATTCCATTCAATTCCTTCTTCCATTCTATTCTCACTTGACTTCATTCCCACGTACCAAACGAGGCGATAGAGTTTTACAAAAAATTCAAAATCAACCTAGTTTCAACCAACGCTGCGGAAACTAGGTCTTATTTGATAAATATACCGGGACTAGTTTTTTTTTATAAGAATAGGTCTAATTCAAAATTTTGTCCTTACATTTAAGGGCATACCAGAAAACTCCCAAGTTTTACCAAGCACTACTGAAAAAGGTTTCAAACACAAAGGTTACATGCTTTAAAAGCTGAAGGCCTTGCTTTCATCCATCCTTTCATGTTGAAGATTGAAACAAGTGTTATCTTGCACATAATTTTCTCAGGCCAACAACCTCATATATCTATTTCTCAGGCCAACAACCTCTTATTAACATAACAGACTACAAGTAGTCTCTGCATTATCTTTGATTGATTGTCTTATGTTCAAAGCTCATTAACTCCTGATATGTTTTTTTTTTCCCAACATGCGCGGCCACATCATTGTTTCATATAATATATATATATATATATTTTTGGATCTTCTTGTTTGGACTCTTGTGGAGAAAGCTAAGGGAAAGTTTTCTCCTTTTTCAGTTTGCTCCCCTCCTAACTTTTTCACAAATTATTATTGCTAGTGAAGAAAAAGCCACTTGCCTTTATATTATTTAGTAACACCCGCCAAAGATTTTTTGCCTGACAGTAGTCCCCTCGTATCCTTTCACAAACCAAAAGAGGCGTACTCTGCTGGACTGTTAACCTCTACCTGAAATTATTTTTAGTGGATAAGACGTTTGTACTAATCTCCTCCTTAAGTGTTTTAATGTGTGCAGTAATTTGTTATGATGTTCATCCTTTGTGGGTTTCATGTGATGGAATCGAATTGGTGAGGCCTCTTTCGTTTTCCTTTTTTTCTTCTTTGCTTCTCTCTCTCTCTCTCTCTCTCTCTCTCTTATGTGCGTTGTTGTTGGCTGTTGTTGGCGCTTTATTGAGTTAGTGCAGATGAACTTTCAATTTAAGTCCCACCGCTGAGAGCAGCTCATTATGTAATAGGAGGGGGACACCTCACTTGTCCCCCATATTGGTTTCATATTTTGAATCCCTGTAACAAAGCTCTTTAAAAAAAGCAGAGTGGTTGATTTATTAGGGCCTACTTCTTAACGATAGCTTACATAGTATAGCTAACTTATGAGAGTCTTATGCATGTCGGTTCAGTTGGCCATCAAAAGAATTCTGCGTACATAATAGCTCACATTATCTATCACGATATTATGGTTGACCTGTGGACCCTAAAGTCTAGTTAGCTGAACATGATTCTGTTTATGTCTGAAGACTTGCATGAGATATGGGTACCATGCTCTTAAATCAGTACATCATTTTTCCTTTTTTTTTTTTCTGATGCGGTGAGATAACAGAACTGATAGTACTCATAGATGCAGTATATTTGAGTCTATAAACCTGACATTTTATTACACTCCCTTGAAAAATTTAAAAAAAAGGTGCAGTTACACTGATAACAGGCCAACTGATTCAAAATAAATAAAATTTCCACAAGTATAATCCCAATGTTACGAATACAAATTCAAACTCAACCTCAAAAATAAACACAAAAACCAGTCTTTTTTTAAAAAAAACAAGAAACTCAACAATCAGGGGCTGGAACTCCTGCTCTATGTATCTTCTCCTACCCAATTCTAAGAATTCATAAACCATTGTCAAGATTACATAAAGCTCGCATCAGAATATACCTTTTGTACACAGGAAGAAAGTGGTGTTTCCCTATAAAATTTTGTCGATCTCATGGCTTGAGGGTGGATGAATTAGAAGTGTGAAGATCTGTAGATGATTCTCTGTGTTTGATGTCGATGGTGGATATGTTGATAAATAAACAAAAGCTTTGCCTCTGCAATTCTTAGTCGTGATTCGTAGGAGATGCTAGCTCAATTTCTCTGCGGGATGCTTCCCACAATTGCTGTTCAATTCCAAGCTTCCTCAATTCTAACACCCCTCTTTCAACTGAAATAAAAGAAGCATTGATTTGTTAAATTTTGGACTCTACAAGATTGATAATGTCGACGGGAGTACTTAGAAGCACATAAGTTGCACTTAGCAGATGTAAATCATAATGCTAAATTTTCCATGAGAAAATTGTTAAGTATCAAACACTGACTCTTTCCACTGCAATAAAAATAAACAAACAGGTCGGATAGCCACTTAAATAAAAAAGCGCAAGTCGACGGGTTCTGAGATAAGTGTATATCATGAAAAAGTAAAAGTTAATTACGGATAATAATAAAAAAACAGTTAATTATGGAACATGAGTATTGAAAAACAGAACTTACCATCTACAGCATCATGAGAAGTCGGTGACTGGCCAATGTGGCTAATCCAAAATTGTAACCGCTCCTCAGCAATATCATCCTCCACACCATGATTTTTGGCTCGTCTCCAGAAATAGGTAAGCCACGCCTGCAGAGAGTATATGTATTCCATAATTCAATGTAATTATGATAAGTTTGAAGTTTAAATGGAACCGATATGGAACCACAGAAAAGTGAGAGAAGCAGCTATCCAAAATGATGCAGAACAATCACAAGATTATCATTAACATGTCACAATTTTAGAGTAGCGACTGTCCCAAGTTGCTTGGACCAAGAGGCTTCATTTTTATGTTTCACCTGACGCTTGCAGTATGCATGCTTTAAAAAAGGAAATTTCCATATTTTTATGTTTTCTATCATGAAAGAACTCTTTGACAACTGGCGTGCCAAATTTCTAACATCACAATCTAATTGATAACCATTTGTTGTCGTCTAAATGTACTCACAACAGATTTAGGAAATGGGCAAGGCAGAATAGAAAAAACTAATTTAACAAAAAGGGTTTTGCATATTTACCCCTCAAATCTTCCATATTTGCAAAATTGCCCTCTGAATCTTGGTATTTGCAAAATTACCACTCACTTCCTTAACACTGGAAATTATGCCACAAACAGTTAACAATGTTAACTTTTAGTCATTTTAAAGCAAAACTTACCTTTTTAACCCTCATCCATCTAACGAACCCCATCCAAATCAGAACCCTATTCTCAAGAACCTTACCCATGCACCTTTCCATTGAATTCTACCTTACCCTAGTTCACTCAGAAGAGAAACTTTGAAGGCCACTCAGCAACTTCTCTCTTAAAATCGAAGCACCATGGAAGAGTTCTTTCATTGCTGCCTTTGAATGTGATTAGAAGAGGGATTGAAGCTAAAGGCAAGTCAAAGAGGATGAATATAGATCAACTTCCTGATGTCGAAGCTGGCCAAACATCAAGTAGAGTTTCTCTCTTTTGTATAAGCTTAAGAGTTTTTTTAAGATGGATTCATTTTGAATAAGCGTGGAGCTTTTGAGTACAAATTTTGGTTTTGTATAATCTTAAGAGTTTTTTTAAGATGGATTCATTTTGAATAAGCGTGGAGCTTTTGAGTACAAATTTTGGTTTTATTTTTGTTGACAATGTCCTGATTTTTTCAGCCATGATCACTTTGTTTGCTGTGATCTTTATTTTTGGGTTTTCTTGTGCAGCATATGCTCCTCACTAAAGAAATTGAAAGGTTTGTCGTCTTCAATATACAAACTGCAAGTAGTACTCATGTGATCCTGAAGTTAGGGATAGTTGTGTAGACTTTAATTATAAAATTCTAATTCTTTTTTTTTGGGGGTATTTAGTGATAAATAAGATTATAAAGCTTACGTTTTGTGAAAAAGATATTCAATTTGCATTAACACTAAAGAAGTATGTTGGATATTTGTGAAAATTTCCCATGACCAACGGGAATATCCTAGATCCACAGCTCATTTAGGATGGGAGATCCATGGCTGATCCTTACAAAAGAATTAAAGCAGAAAGAATGTTGCAGGAGGTAAAGAGAGATGGCTTGGATTACTTGGATTTAAATAGAGGCAATAGACTTTTTTTCACTAGTTTTAGGAAATAGTTGATTAGTAAATGGGTAAATTAGTCATTTTATAATGCCTAACAGAGATTAAGGGCATATTCCCTGTATAT